GGTGGTTTGACATTTTTTAATAAGTACTATACCCTAAATGAAATCTAAAGTCTCTGAGTTTGTTCAATTTGGAATTTTATGGAATAGATTGTGAATTTTTAATGATTTAATTAAAAAGATTTTAATTATTTTTATCCAAACCTTTTCCAAACTTCATGAAATCACTTCCAAAGGTTAGGAATGACCCATGGGTGTTTTTTAAGTGTTTGAGAATTATTTAAAATTTTAAAATATTTTTTAATTAATTAAATAATATTTTTCACTCAAATTAAATTAAGGTCAAATTTAAGGTTCAGTCAAGGGGATTTTTATTTTGCTAGGTTGGGGATTTAATTTTGGTTACTTTGATATATTATTTATTTATTTATTTATTTTGAATTAGTTATGATTTTTATAAGTTCCAAGGTTAATTAATGGGTTAATTTTAACTTAATCAAAGTTTTGATTTCATAACTTTAAATTCAGTGGATTTATAACCTGAGGTAGGCAATGTCACTAAGTTTACATGTCTTGAATTTTATCCATATTAAGTGTATAATTAAATTTCTATCATTTTCTCTAAAATCCCAACCCTTGTCCTTAATGCTTTTCCTAAAATATCTCTTAGTTGTGTTTGTTTACAATTAGAGGTCTCTAACCCTTAACACATACATAAATAGCCACACCGTGCAAATTAAAGCCAAATATATGACCTAAATCTAGGTGGAGTGGAAGGGGTGTATTTCTAAGTGTTTGGGTTAATCCATAGCCTAAAAACTTAAATATTCACTCAAAGAAACACATCCTCATTATATTGCTCTTGACATACTATGATATTGGATATATTTACCATAGTTTTCATCAATAAAATCCAAATGCAAGACAAAGTGCCTAAACTATAAATTATGTAAATTAAAAAAATGGTTCACATGCAAATGACCTGTACACTTGCATTTGATTTGATCAACTCAATTCATTGATAACTAAACTCTATTTAAAACTTCAATGAAGAGGTTTAATTGAATGGAATCAAGTATCCAAACACAAGGAATTTTCAAATGATATGTTAAAATTGACTCATGTTAATGTAAAATTAATTGATAATATAGGTCAAAAAATTTAAAAAATTTTATTGAAAATAAGTAAAAGCATGGCAAATCCCACTGCAAAATTTCAAAACATTTGGATGAGTATCAAGGGAATAAACGAAGAAACTCATAAAACAAACATGCTAAAAGTATTCCCTAAATACCCATCATCTAGGTTTGAAAATATTTTTTTTTAAAAAAGGGCTTGAAAATATAAAAAATTTTAGGGGTTGCTTATAATTTTTCCACATATCTAATTTACTTTGGATTTTGGAAAAATTTGTATTTAAAATGCATTTTAAAACATTTTTAAATGGGTTTAAAACTAATGCCGATGGAGAAGCGCCACACGTTCACCAATTCAAATAGCGACAACGGCACCATGATCATTGTAAATAGTTGGAGGCGGTGGCACAAGGTACAGATGCGATAATCACTTATCCGAGTCAACAAATGTCGCACACCATTGGATCATCCGTGATATCAAATCAACAACTCAGATCGAGGCGGATGGAAATCTGAACAACGTAGTAATCTACACGGTTGAAACAATCCGTGAAATAATTTTATATGAACCATTGATTATAAGATCAACGGTCTAGATTTCGTTCATTTTCATGCACTAACAATAAGCCTTATAAATGAATTAATTGCTCCATTCTTAAAAATCGCTTTGCCAATTTTGATAAAATTTTAAACAGAGATAGATTTAGTGAAGAGCATTAATGGGGAAAAGTTTTCTTGGTTTAAAAATTGCATTTCAGAAAGATAATTAAACCCAACTGTAGAAAGCTAGAGTTGAGGAATTACCGAGTATTACTGGATGGTTTTTTATGTTTTTGAGCTTGTTGAACTTGTAGATTGTCCATAAATAATTTCCTAATAGAAATCGATGGCCAAAATTTTCTAGATCATCAGCAATGGTGCCTGGACAAAGTTGGTGGCTCTTCTCGCTAGAAACTCATCAGAGGCGGCTATTGATAAGTGGTTTTGGAATAGGGAAATAGAGAGAGAGTCTTGGAGAGTTGAAATGAAAAGAGAAATAGCTGTAATAAGCTCTAGTGATAAGTGTGCTTAGGATGAGTGAAATGAGCTCTTATCATTGCATTAAACCCTAGGCTTTAGATTGGACAACTTGGAACAATCAAAGCCTTTGCATTGATGCCTTACATGTGTCCTAAGCCGTTGGGATGGCAAGGAAATGGCTGGGTCAGGGTTGATGGCCATTGGTGGCTTGGTGTGGTAGGGGGACCACTCTTGTCACTTTAGGCTAAATCAGGCTCTTATCTGGGTTAGGTTTAGAGGGCCCTTAAGAGGGCTTTGGGGTTTAAAAGATATGCTTAGGCTAGGTTGGTTGACAATTTGGAAGAGTTTTAAGCTTAAGTTTACTAGTTTGACCAGTCAACTAGTTAAAGGATAATGAGGTGGCAGATAGGAATTGTGAGGAGCTATTTGAAATAAGTTTGAGAGGAGTCAAAGAGCTGGAGTTAATACAAGAATGAATGTGATCATATAGGATGGATTTTGATAAAGGATTTTGATTTAACTTGGTTAAACTCAAAAGTTTTTGACTCATCCTTGATTGGGATATGTTCAAGGCATGAAAAAAAAAGTGGATTTGAAGCTTGAAGGGGGTTTGATTGTCTATAGATAGTGATTTGACCTAAATTATGGGAATTTGACCAAGCCTAATAATTTTACTTGGTCAAACTAATTAAGATTTTGATTCTTTAATGGTTTGAATGCACTTGAATCATGGATTGGAGTGAGATTAAGGGTTTGAAGATGTTGATTTCGTTAGATAAAATGATTTGACCCAAATAGGTCAGATTTGACTCAACTTGGGCTTAGTTAACCAAGTCAACTATTTACTGGGTCAAAGTGTCCAATCAATTCCAATTCACTAGGAAAAGTGTTCAAGGTGTTTTGATATAGTTCATAGTGGATTTGAAGCTTGATTGAATGTAAATTAGGGTTTAAAACTGATATGGTCAACCATGGTTTAAAGTTGACCAAGTCAGACCAGGGGTTGGAATTGGGTCCAAGAGATTTAATTTGATGATTAGAGACAAATGGAAGTGTTCCCATACATTAGAGTGGTCATTTGAGTTAATATGACCATTTAAACCCTTAAAGGACAATTTGGTTTAAGTTTGTTGACTTGATCAACCATGCTTGACCAAGGTTGAAATTTAAGACCAATGCACTCTTAATGGTGTTTGGGGGTATATTAAAGGAGATTTCAAGGTTCTATTTGATTATTCCATGTTGTGTTTCAGAAAAAAATCCAATTTTATTCTTAAATGGCATTTTTGTTATTTTTACCCCTGCTCAACTATGGGTCAAACTAGGTCCAACAAAATATAGTTTAATGTTCATCATATCAGAACAAAGGCTATAGATAAGGTCAAGAGTCTTGGAGAAAGTCCAAAGGTCAAATTCTAGAAAGTGTAAGGTTCAGTGGCATAGGTTGTAATTATTTGAAGGTTTTGCAGTCTTTGGATTTTAATTTAGTTTTTGGGGTTAGAAGTATCACATTAGATTCAAAATTTGGAGGATTGACCATAGGGACATACCTAATCATTATTCAATTGATAGATCATGAATTATGGGTCATTTTTATTGGGTTTTTAAAGTGTTTGAAAAATCACCGAGAAAGTGTTTTAGGATATTGGCCTTTAACCTTTGATTTTGAGCTAAGATTCTAGATTTGAATGCAATTTTGGATTTAATTAATTGATTTAAAATTATCCACATCAATCACAATCATATATATCATTTAGATTGATTAGACATGGTTTAAGGCTGATTAAAGATTGATTAAAGGTTGAATTGATGATTGGGTTGAAAGTTGATTGAAGATTTGATTAAAAGTTGATTAAGGTCTAGATAATTGATAAGTAGATGATTTTGACCATCATATCACCAAGTAGGGATCGAGATAGGTCCAAATGACGTCATGAAGGAATGAGGTAAAAAAGTGAGACGTAGATTTAATCAAGTAAAGGGGAACTGTTAGGCGCTTAAACATAGGCCTGAGCAAAAGTAAACCTAGATTTTTTGACAAGGTTCGTAGTAAGGCTATCTCCCAATCAAATACCTAACCAGAGAGAGGTACCATTCTCTAAAGGCAAGAGAAATTTCCCCTACTAAGAATGAGATAACCTTTTCCGGGGGGGGATTTTGAGGAGGAGGAAGGCTGGTTAAGTATATTCTTTAAGTTTAAGTAAGAGGGATGGGTGGGGAAGATCTTTCTCGATAAACATCGAGGTGGAGGCCATTAGGCAGGGAGGGAGAGAAGGAAAGGGGGGAGGGGGTTAGACCATCGGCCAGAAGCATCGAAGGCAAGGGAGGAAGAGGCTGATCAAGAGAAAAGGGGAGCACATCGGCTACTATTTTTTAGAATATTGTTTTAATTATGAATATAAATTAAGGTTTTTAGGTCACCCTTCCACTGATGAGCAGTAAACTTTGATTGCAATAATTGTTTAGTTAAATAGGCAATTGTATCCAAGGTTGTGAAAATCGGACCAGTGGTAGAAGGAGAGGTATATATATTATTATTAATTTATTTTATATGATTAAATATATTTTACATGTATATGTTATATACCAAATTTATTTTATAAATTTTTATCTAAAAAATATTTATGTCAAAATAATTTATAAGTGATAAATAGATAAAATTATTTTTATAGTGTATAAATAAATAAATAATTAATTAACTAATAAATAAGTAATATTCACATTATAAATAAATAATTAAAAAAACAATTTAAAAATAGATTTCATAGACATTATATATACATAAGCTCATATACACCTCAACTCTTTATTTAGTCATACTAAATATTAATATACTTCTTCTTTCTATCATAAAAAAATACCTTATTATTAATTGAATGTTACATATTTTTCAATTCCAAGCTGCAGGGCTATATGATTGGTAATCCATCAACTGGTGAGTTTATTGATTATAATGCTCAAGTACCTTTTGCTTTCGGAATGGGTATAATTTCTGATGAACTATATCAGGTGATATTCTATTTTAAAATTTTTTCAAATACTCTCTCTCATTATTTTTAAAATTTTCCAAATTCTCTCTCTCTCTCTTACTCTTTTAAAAAAAATTTCAAATTCTCTCTCTCTCTCTCTCTCTCTCTCTCTGGTGTGTGTTTCTGAACCTTGTTTCCATTTCAGGGCATTGATAAGAATTGTGAGGGTGAAGACTACGAGAATCCAAAGAATTCTCCATGTGCCTCTCTTATTCAAATCTTTGAGGAGGTAAGCATCAATGTAACCATATCTCTCTATGCCCTCTTAAGGTCTTTATTTATGATTTGGCTAATTTTTTTTTTCTTTTTTGACATTAGTATTCTGTGTGTGTGTCTTTTTTCTTTTAAACAATCTTTAAAATATATCTAAAAAAATTAGGTAATTAATTTCAAGTTGTAGTTTAGATCAAAGCAGTCTTCTGTATCGAAAAGTAAAGGATCATAATTGCCTTGATAAATCTTGGTCATCTCTTCGATTAATTTATGGTATATTCGTCAAATATGCATATGCAGTTCAAGTCAGAGCTCATGACAACACAAATTTTGGAGCCCAAATGCAGTTTTGCTGCACCCAAACCTAATTACATTTCTAATACAAGAAGGTCTATGCTAGTACAGCAGAGCTACACAGTTCTTTTCGAGCCTCCAATTCCTGATGTCAAGTGCAGAGTAATTAATTTTCCTTATTTATTTTGTTTCCTACGAGTAAAGTTGTGGAAGAAGAGTTTCTTGTATTAAATATCTATATATTTAAGTTTTCATAAATTCTTGAGTGGTACACTAACTATAAATATGGCTGCAGACATATTCTTATTATCTCATGTATATATGGGCAAACAACAACGATGTTCAAGAGGCTCTCAATGTCAAAAAGGTATAAGATTTTTAGTTTACTCCCTTATTAAATTCTTATAAAAATAATATATTAAAATAAAAATATGAAATAGTTAGCCCTCTAATTATGTCTGCATGGAGCTGATTATGATGGAATGAAACAACTTGGGAAAGAAATACAATACCTTAAAAGCTTTATGGAAAAGTATTGATGAGTATATCGAAATAAATTTTTTATTATGATAAATTTAAAAAAAGTTAAATTTATTTTGAAATTAATCTAATCTTAGCAACTAATTAATGTTTGAATCAGGGAAAAGTGAAGGAGTGGCAGAGATGCATTCATGACTTGAATTATACAAAGGATGTAAGAAGCAACCTTGAATATCAGGTTAATATCACCACTAGCGGCCATCGTGCATTGGTTTACAGGTGAGAGGTACATAGTTAGCTGACAAAAACTTTGTCAATTAATCTCTCTCTCTCTCTCTCTCTCTCTCTCTCTCTCTCTCTCTCTCACACACACACACACACACACACATGTTTACATATATTTATTTTTTTTGGTGCAGTGGTGATCATGACATGGTTGTCCCTTTCATGGGCACAAAGGAGTGGATAAAATCCCTAAAATTCTCCATCAGAGACCCATGGAGATCTTGGCATGTCAGCGGCCAAGTTGCTGGGTATGTTCCTAATTACTTATTTCTATAATGTCATATAATGATGGCTCATTTCTTCCCCCATTGGCTCCATAGATACACAGAATCTTACTCCAATAATATGACCTTTGCGACTGTTAAGGTAAAGCTTTTCAGCTTCGACGTTCTTGGTTAAATACTTGTAATTAATTCCTTAGGCTTGGCATGATTATATTTGTATCTTATATAGGGTGCTGGACACACTGCTCCAGAATATAAGGCTAAGGAATGTTTAGCCATGTTTCGAAGGTGGATTTCTCATAGATTACTATGATTAAGCTATTGGAAGTTCCCCTTTTACTGATTGCTGTAGCTCAACATGGCATGTATGACACCACCCACCTTGATCTATTCGTTGGGAGCTCGGGTTACCGGCCAAAAGGTCTTGAATTTAATACTTGTATATGTGATGTGCGTAATTGTATTAATAAATTCACTTAAAAGTCCGAAAAAAGAATGGCATGCATGCAGGGGCAAAACTAGCTATCTCTTTTGAGGATGGGTTAAATAATATTATGAAATGTATATGAAATAAAAAAAATAAGTATTTGAGTAATTTCATTTATTGAATGTGGGCAAAAAATAGTTAAAATGTTTATTCTCTCACAAAGAAATTTCATAGTATGCAATTGCTCACCTTGGGCTCTTTTTTATTCCACCCAGCTCATGGACAAATTTGAATTGGACAGCATACAATTCCAATGAAAAATTAAATTCTATATGAAAATAAGTGAATATAGACATTAAAGAAGATCATAAATAAAATTTAAATATATATTCTCTATCTTAAGAATCACAAATTCACAATTAATTTTATGAATATATGATATTGTTAAAGTCAAAATATGCAATCATTTTACTCATTCAAATTAGTAAAGATCAAGCAAACCCCTTTTATGTGAAAAGATACTCAGGAGGTGTAGAATATAAAAACAAACAAAAAAACTAATAAAAATAATTTATGAAACTGACTAATTAGATACTATTTTATTATGTTGATAAATAATCACCACTAACAACATCAACAGATCATTTTGTAATGAAACCATGAATAGTACATCTAATTCTATAAATGTGAAGAGAATAGAGTAAATGTTTATTGCAATCAAAGAAAAATATTCAACCATCCTCACTTGTGTATATCTATGTCTACGAGCGACGTTGTCGGCTGGAGTTGTGAGGGAGAGAGGAGACAGGATGTGGGGACGACTTTGGTTTTGAGAACCTAGGGCTGGGACCTATTTCCTTTTTCTTTTTCTTTTTTTTGCAAATATGGGCAAACTTGGCAGGGTGGGAAAAAATTACTTAAATGGGACAAATTACTGTGCATGTTAGCCCTCATCATGGGGTAAGTGACTCGTTAGGATTGGACAACTGGCCCCTCATGCTAAGGTGAGAGACCCCTCAAGCTAGGGCAAGACTAAGTTTTTAGTAAGTTCACCTTATCACTTCGTGATTCCACCTCATATCACTAGCTTGCCTAAAACAAAATTAAATTTGATTTAACCATGCCTTAAGCACATTTGTATGTACATTTAACTCTTTAAATCTCTTATGTATTTGAATACCAATTTCTAAGAAAATAAGAGAATTAAGTGAAGGATTTATTACTAATAATGAATGGTCAAAGTGAAAATGATAATATCTCTCTTGTTTAATTCTTGCAACACTTTAATAATTGCATTGATTTGAGTATTTTGCATGTCTAATGTATATCTTAATTTATAAATATATGTGGGATTCCTTCATTTGAGCTTGATATTCTATTTCACCCCTCCTATATGATAGCTCTATAATTCTGTCTTAATAAACAATCATGTCACCCCCAAAAATGGTATGAGTATTGCTAATCAGATGTTATGTTGGAGTAAATTTTGTAATATAAACAAGTTCATTAAATAAAATATTGAGAGGCCTCCCTTTAGATAAAGCAAACACCCTACTCAGATAGATGGCCTATCCAAATCTGCACATAGGGAGACGCCTAATCAACGAGTAGAAGTAAAATATACAGTGAACCCCTGTCGAACCTTGATTTATATTTGAAATATATTATCTTTCTGTGTTGTTTAAACTTATTTTTTATTGGTTATGAGTATAAAAATTTTATTTCCTAGAGGCCTAATAAAAATCCAAGTACCTAATAAAAATCCAAGTAAAAGCTCTTATATGTAACAAACCTAGAAAATACAAGAATTTTTTAAAGCACAATTAGACTAAACAAATCATTTACCCAATCACCATAGCATATAAATATTAAATTATAATAAAGTAAAATGTCCGAAATATAAGTCTATATGTGGCAAGTGCCACTTAATTATAATAATTTATAAATAGAGACTACGGAGTAATGTCTTTAATTTACAACCCGGATTCTACTCCTAAAATTGATACTAGTCATAAAAAAAAATGAGTTTTATCCACGTCTTTAGCTTCCATATAGTGTTGATCATCCTCCAAAAAACTTCCTTGGTTTAAATATGTCTAACATAAGAAATATATACTGAGATCCTCAAAATATGTGTGGATTACTTTGTCTAATAGCCTTAAAACTGTTGATAATTTGCTCAGAAGAAACATAAAAGCAGATTTAGTATGTGGGCTATGAAGCTCCTTACCAGAATCAGCCACCTGGCCCACCCACTTATTTTTTGAATGTGAATTCTCTTTCACCATTGTCTACCATTTAATCCCTTAGCTAAGCTCCATTATTTAGTCCTAACTTATTGCAAGTTTTTTCATTCTCTCTCTAAAGTAGTTCATATCAATGTAATTCAAATAAAAACTTTTATTACTTTTTTATTTGTTGCACTATATAAAATGGTAGAATATTTGGGGCAAATTATAATAGTATCTCTACCATTGTCCATAACATTAAAAAAGCCAATCATCTTAAACTTATCAACTGGACGTATAATGATAATGTTGTAAACATAATTGCTTAACTGGAGCTTCTAAACTTTAATTTGCTATGTATGTTTTGGGGTATATTAGGGCTATTAAAATTGGGTTTGGGTCGAACCTGGAACTGACCTGCCACAAAATGACCCCAACCGGACACGACCCTACAACCCGGGTCACAGGCTTGTCTTCAACCTCAGTTAATGATGGACTGGAGCGGATGGTGGAGGCGGCGGTGACTATAGAGGCTACTAATGGCAAAGGCGGTGATGACAGAGCGAATGGCGGTGACGGTGGAGGCGATGATAGAGATGGAGGACAACTCGGTTATGGGAACCTCCGAATGCCAGATGGTGAGTCGGAGAACGGCTTGGCAAAGATGGCAAAGGATGGCGGGTAAACCTCTAGATACCAGAAAGTTGTGGCAACCCATGGCTCAGTTCGCGGATGACAGAGCTGACGTGATGCAGGACTTGACGCGATGCGGGGGTTGAGGGCTTGATGCGACTTGATGAGAGCTTACGCATGACTTGACGCAAGGCGGGTTTCTGGGCCAGTCCGAGCCAATGTCGGGTTAGCGGGTTGACCTGGACCCGACATATTTTTTTCAAATGGCTCAAAACTCGGAACTCAAACCCAACACATTTTACGAAGTAGGTGGACCATAACCCGAAATTTTCAGGTCGGGTTCGAGTTGGGTTTTTGAGTTGTGTCAAATATTGACACCCCTAAATATATGCTTGGTTTTTAATTTTTGTGCCATTATTGTTGTTTTTGTATTTACACTCAACTACAAATGCTTGTTGTTCTAGTTTTATAAATTATACAATTTTGTTTATCTGCATTTTATTTCAATTTTCATTTCGGTGGTTGATGTGGATCTTTTATGGTCTGTCGTTTCTTTTTTTTTTTGGGACATTTAGGCCATTTAAGGCAAACTCACACACACAACGCATACACATAGACTCGAACCCTGAACCTCTTAGTTGGAAGCCTAAGCTCTCAACCAATAGGCCAAGGAGAATTCCTTTAACTATAAATTGTCTATGCTAACTGGGAGCTCTTATACGACAAAACAAATGATGATGATGATGATGACGACTCTTTAAGAAATTCTGTCAGTCTTATTCCCTTCAGATTCCTCCCTTTGAGTTGTAATTTCGGCAACCAGGGAATTACTGAATTTGGTTTACCAAGATCCCTTTTTTATTTTTCCAAGTCCAGTAATTTTTGTGTTTTGATATAAATGTAATTCAGGTTTTTTGTCATGCTCATTTCTTTGAGCTAGGTCCTTATTTTTTGTTACAGCTATTACCATATCGCCCATAGTTATGAATTGTAATTTTCTTTTTCAAGCTGTACTCACTCAACATAGTTAATGAAATTTGGTTTAGGCCCTTTAATTTCCTCCCAAAAAACTTTTAAATTGTTTAGCATAAATTTTTTATTTTTAACATTATTTTTAAATTCATTAATAAATTTACAAGAATATTAAGATTTTTTTCTATTTTTTATAGATAATAGTACACAATTTAATATAAAATAGATTAAAATTATATATTTCTAAAATAACGGTCATGCCATTGATAAAATCTAATGTACAAATCATGCTTCCTTTATATTAACTTTACCCTAAGCTATTTTTAACATTTTCCTAAGCATTTCGCATTTTAATATTATAGGAAAAAAAAAATACAACAAAAATGACATTACATAATTATTTTTTATTTTAACATTGAAAGTTTTATGTTCATAGAGTAAATATAACATTATAGAATATTAAATATATTAATAAATAAATTCGAACTAGGTTAATTTAAATTATGGTTTGGCATTTATAAAGTAGGGTGACTTTCGTGCTTAATAGCTAGCTCGTATATAGGATCAACTAAAATTTCGTTTGGGATAGATGGCAAAAGAAAAAAAAACAACGACGCAAAACCAGCATAATAATGAAACTACTTTTTTGCTAATTAAGAAGATAATTCTAAAATATACCTTAATTAATCTAAACTTTCACTCTTTTGTACTCAAGCAGGACGTGAATTTTTTTGTTGCAAAAAGAAAAAAAACCAACAATCATAGATATTTATAGGAGAAAATGTCCCCTTGTTTTTTACCTCCAAATCCTCGTGATTACACATCAGACAATGACCATGAGCACACACTCGACAAAGTCCCGCAAATGAATAGAGGCGGCAGTTTTCTCCTATGTTTTCTCCAACTTCTTTGAAGGGGATTTCAGCTCCCTTATGGATAAGACTACCAAACTTACCTTTGCAATGTTGGGATGATATCAACATTTACAGGATTGCAACGAAGATGGGAAAGCCATACTTGCTTGTTGGGAACATGTTTCAATGGGGTAGAAGAGAATACGCTAGAGTTTGCGTTCGTGTTCCCCTAAATGAGAAATTACCCCTGGGGGTATGGGTGGAAGGATTATCTGAAAAATTTTTCCAGAAAATTGTATACAAAGGCATTTCAAAGTTATGTTATGAATGTGGCTTCATTGGTCACACCATAGAAGAATGTATGATCTCTAAAGAAAAGAAGGTAACTTCGAGTGTTGTTCCTGATTTGGTCAGGAATGTTCAAGATCAATTAAACTCAAGAGAAGTAGGAAGCTCATGTCAGCAAAATGATGAAAATAGCTATGGTCCA